CTAAAAACAAGTAAGCCTGGTCTTGCTGAGGGTTGTGGCTTCGGATGCTCAGCTTACCCAGCGCTCCTGACCGACAGCTTCCACTGTCACCCCCCCCCCCAGCCCCCCTTCAGAGTCACTCAGTCCTCGGCACAGTGTATCCATTTGAGCGCTGTAGGTCAGCCCTGCCGTGTTAACGAAGGGGCCCTGTGCCTCTGCCAGGTGGACATCATGCAGATGTGCGTGCTGGAGATGCCTGAAAGACCAGGGAAGGCGCTTTTCCACTTGGAGCATTACATCGAGGGCAAATACATCAAGTACAACTCCAACTCCGGCTTCGTCAGGGACGACAACATTCGCCTGACGCCCCAGGTTGGTCTTACCGCCACGCTGAAGACGACACCTCTGGCACAGCTGCCGCGTAACGGCACGCCGGGGCCTGGCGCCGGGGCCTGGCGCCGTGCCCCGTCCACAGCAGTGTTCTCATGACCCCCTGCTGGCTCTGCCCTCTCCGCAGGCTTTCAGCCACTTCACCTTTGAGCGCTCTGGACACCAGCTCATAGTCGTGGATATTCAGGGGGTGGGAGACCTCTACACTGACCCCCAAATCCACACTGACAAGGGGACAGACTTCGGAGATGGCAATTTGGGTACGGCGAATGCAAGCGCGAGTGTGAACATTCTGCCCTCTAGAGGCCTTTTCTAAAAGTGACATCGACAATGTGCAGTACTATTTTTTTTTCCGGATTATTTTTCTGGAGGCGTGAGTTCCCGTCACGGTCCTCGGACTGTAGTGCATTCATGAAAGCCAAAGTCATGCAGGTCCTGTGCGTTGTCTGCCTGCGCAGGTGTGCGCGGCATGGCGCTCTTCTTCCACTCCCACCTATGCAACAAAATCTGCAAGAGCATGGGCTTGACGGCCTTCGACCTGTCCCCGGCTGAGAAGGGCCAGCTGGACTGCACGAGCAAGCTGCTGGTGAGTGACACGGGTCCGGCGCACGTCATCATGCTCGTTACTCTGACCGTAGCCGACCGACCGCATATACGACGGTGGTCACACAAGATTATAATGGAGATGAAAAATTCCTCATAGCTACATCATAGCACAACACATTACTCACGTGTTTGTGGTGATGCTGCTGTAAACAAACCTACTGAACTGCCAGTCATATGAAGTATAGCACATACTATTATGTACAGTATATAATACCTGATAATCAGAGTAAACAACCGTTACTATACTTTTACTGTTGTTTTAGAGTATAGTTGACTATACCATCTAGGTTTGTGTAAGTACACTCTATGATATTCCCCAGACGATGCATTTCTCGGAAAGTATCCCCGATGTTAAGTGACGTATGGCTGTATTTTGAAATAGCATTTTCATCTGACATGTAGAGGGTGCAGTTTCACCCCTGGTAAAATCGCCTATAGCTGGACATTTGTTAGGGAAGCACAAACCTGGCATGTGGAGAACAACTGCAGCCTGCTTGCTCTGCACACACCCCTCCCTCGCTTTCTTGCTGATTTCCAGCAGTCGGCCAAGACGGTGCTGCGTGGCTGTGAGGAGCCCTGCGGCTCCTCCAGGGTTCGCACCTTTTCCACGGGCCGCATGCCCCCCCTCCTGACCCGCCTGTCTGAGACCTCATCCATGGAAGAAGGTCTCAGCGACCAGGACTCCGTTCCCTGCTCCCCCCTGCAGTTCAGCAGCTCCATGGGGAAATCTCCACTGGGTATGAAAGCCTGCGGCAGCTGCGCAAACGCACACATGCACACGCACACAGCGCACACACATATACATGCACACACATATACATGCACACACACACACACCACACACACGCATGTGCACACAGTGCACACACATATACATGCACACACACACGCATGTGTACACAGTGCACACACATATACATGCACACACACACACCACACACATATACATGCACACACACACACCACACACACGCATGTGCACACAGTGCACACACATATACATGCACACAGACACACACAGCACAAATCTCTTAAATTAATTTGCAAAATATACTTTACTAATCGTATTTTTCATACTGTTAGTATGTGAATATATTTAATTCTATTCTTATGTAGTCAGATACTAAAAGAAGTGCTAAAAGAATTCAAACCCGAGCACTTGCAGAAAGCTGAAGGTTATCAGGTTAGTTTCCTTTCGGTGAACGAATAACGGCTAACGTGCCACATCCCCTACAGGGTTGTTATTAATGAACGAAATGCACCCGCATGGCGACTCGAACCACGAGAACCGGTCAGACCACAAGGTGAGGTCGCCACGCTGCTACCACACGGGTCGCGAGGCGTGTGTCCTGACACGTGGGTGTCCTGTGTGCACCTGTCCGTGCTGAGTAGCCTGTTTTCCACCACCTCCCCACCCCCGCAGGATCAGGAGAGCAGCGGAGACAGCGGCTATCCCAGCGAGCGCCGCAGCGAAGGAGACCCCAACGACCACAATGACAAGGTGGGGTCCTTCCGGCCTGTCCCGGCTGCCCTCTGTACTGCCTGATGTTCTGCGGCCTTTTTTTAATCCTTGCCCTCAGGTTTTAGCTTGTTCTTAAATAACCCAGACTGGCAGCCTCTGTGTTCTCAAACAGCTACAGATTGTATCGTAGTGTAGAATTTAATCAGATGGTTTTAACATGCTTCAGCGAGCCAGCGCCTGTCAGTCGTATTTCAGTCAGTTTGTAGCAGCATAAACCGTCTTGCTCGGTGTTAAAGGGAGTCGGACGAGCTTTCTCCCGTAAGCTTTCTGAAATGTGTCAATGGCCTTTACACGTCACACCATAGATCGGCTCCCACAGCAGACGACGGTACGAGTCGGACGAGGACAGTATCAAAAGGGTAAATACCTACACCAGTAGCTAAACGCTACCCTGTAACCCAGTAAAACCTCCCTCATGTCTCCTGTTCGTTTCCTCACTCATCTGGGATACCGGCACCTGTCTGTTGCAATCAGCTCTCACCGTGACCCCACCCTCTATAAATGTTACTCCCCCCCACCCCCCAATAAAAAAACAGTAGTTATGCCAAGCAAGTCGCCTCCCCCCCCCACAAATCACGGCCTACACCAGCTGGTGAGTGTCTGGTGTGTTTGACGTGGTGCAAACCTCACCTTTGGCTGCCTCTGGCCAGTGGATCTGAATGTTTTTCTAAACAACAATTTTTTACAATGGATGCTATAGCTGGCGTTCAGGCGAGGATTTTGAGGCTTGATGGTTCACATCTGGAAACCTGGATGCTTCAAGGATTACTTATGAACTTCTTGCATGAAGTTTCCATTCAGATCTACATTTGTACTCATTTTTTAAGTCAGTTTATGGTTTGCTCTTTGTCACACCCACCAGCCACATTAAAAGTCTGCATCTGCTAATCTGTGTGCAGTATTCATATTACATATAATGTTTCAAGCAGTATTTTACATTATATTACAAAATTTACTACATTAGCACCATTCTTAGGAAATACGGCATTTCGTAGTAGTAGGTAATCTTAAATAGATCATTTTCCTTATAATGTAAATAAAAATGATTGCTTGCTTGGTGAAACTATTGGTATCAGAATTGTTCATTACACCATGAAGTGGATTGTATGTTTCTAAACAGCTTTATCTATTACCGCTTCGTCCATTAAGCCTGGATATCGGTTAGTTTTTTCCAGCCGGGACTTCTTCCTCCTCTCTCAACCTTCCCGATTATCTGTGTACTTTCAATTAACCCTGTTTCTGATCATAACCCGAGACCTTCCACAGGTAACCTCGGACTAAATTTCCACTTACTTTGTCAACAGATATTAACAGTGCATGAAGATCTTGTATAAGAAAAATGCTCAGGCTGGGAAATTGTTGTTGTATTATGTAAAGCTGTGAATGTCTCATCTCATAATACATGTTCAGTTGGTTATTTCAGCAATATTTTATTGTCAAGCTTGATCGTAAAATCATTAATCAATATTTAAGTTGGATATTTACTGGTTTTTAAAAATAAACAGTGATCAGTCTCAGTAGAAGAGTGATCCCACTCTTAGGCTGGACTGACCGTCTTTACCCCGTGTCCCTCACGGAGGCACAGCCTCATCATGCTGGTTCCTGGGTACAGAAACACTCAGGCGGCCTGTGCTCCACCATCTGTCTGAGTCCCCCTGCAACTCTCTCTCTCTCAGCTAACGGAGGAGAAGTGGAGCTTCCTGCACACTTCTCGCTCGCACGTGCATCGGCCTTCCTGCGTGGCCGTGGAGGTGGAGAGGCTCAATGCACTGGAGCTGGAAAGGAAGATCGGCAAATCCATCCTGGGGAAGGTGAGTGCAAGTGGATACAGCACGAGGATGATGATGATGATTAGCATTATTAGTAGTAGTGCTAATGATAATATTAACAAAAGTGACATCACCATTACCGATATTTACCATTTTTTAAATGCATCCCATAAGCACATTATGAATATAATGCGCATTATGTTATGCGCCCGTATTTATGCGCATAACATAAACACAAATGAGTATAATTTGGTTTTGGGGCAGGCCAGCTGCCGTAGACGGTTATCTTGTCATCGTGATAACTCAAAAAGTATTTGATGGATCTTTTTCAAACCGTGCAGATACATTTTATGATTGAAAATCTGGAACTGATCAAATTCTGAGGATTTTGTGCTACCAAAATTGAAGCAGCGAAGTGATAATAAGGAGAAGGGCAGTTTCAGACACGTGTTGTTCTTAGCATGATGAAATAAAAATATTTGACTGACCTTTTTAAAACTTTGCTGGACACAACTAGATAGTTCCATGTTCCATTTGGTGTGGATTTCTGTGTCCTTGTATAAAGTGAGCGTGGAACTGCTGTAAGGCACTTGATATATAACAGCAGGCTTTTCTGATTTTATATTCAGAGCTGTGATCTGTGTGTTTACCTGCTGCATTGTGTATTCTGGTCCATTTTAGGTTATCGTTCCATTTATTATTATGCTAATTTTTATGCTACCAGCAAATAATACAATGTTACCCTAAGGCACCAGGATGACACAGGCCTTCGTTTCGTTGTTCCGTGACCCTGCCCTCCACTCAGGTCCACCTGGCCATGGTACGGTATCACGAGGGAGGCCGCTTCTGTGAGAAGGAAGAGCAGTGGGACCAGGACTCGGCACTGTACCACCTGGAGCGGGCGGCCATGTGTGGCGAGCTGGAAGCCATCGTGGCGCTGGGCCAGAGCTACTTGCAGCTACCTCACCACGTCCTCCCTGAAGTCACACTGCAGGTACAATGGCCTGGATATATTCATTTCTTTATATATATATATATATATATATATATGTTGGTTTATGCTTCCTTGCTGCTGTTTCTTGCTCATAGTGTGTGATTGTGTGTTTTATTGTACGAGTGTGCACCCTGTGATGGACTTCCATCATATCCAGCGTATATCCTGCCTTGTGTGCTAAGCTCCAGGCTGCGTAAGACCCTGTACTGCATAAGGATGGATGGATGTTTTTGAATGTATCAGTTTACAGTAGGACCATTGCTAGGATCTTAAGACATCTGAGGCTAAGCCTAGAGACCTAATCTGTGTGAGGGTTCTCAGATTGGAAGTGTGGTTGTTAAAATATCTGAGCTAAACAAATCCTTTGGGCCTTGTTTGGATCCCTTTGGGGCTTCAGCCCCAAATGCCCCAGGCTCGTGACGTGTCTGGTTCCCATTTACATAGCCAACGCTTTTGTGCATCGTGACGTACAATTTAGAAAAAAGGGTGTCAGTCAGTCCATGGAGTAATTTGTATTAAGGTCCAGGCTTAAAGACCCAACAGTGAAACCCCTCTTTTGACCACGGGATTTGAACCAGTGACCTTCTGAGCAAGGGCACAGGGTTCTAACCTGCAGAGCCACTCATTGCCCCTGGTGAGAGCATGTGGGATGACATCATCGCCGCTTTTATAAGCCCTGTACATAATGAGCATGTGCTGCCGTGCTCTCTGTAAATGGCAGCTAATCGCACAGTGTGAATGCACAGAAAACAGCCAGCCCGTCTCCCAGGGTTACGGCCAGTTGGGAGCTGTGGGCTGATGGAAGAGCAATGAATTAAACAAACATGTTTTACTTTGGGGTTTCATGGGGGGGAAAAAGAGCATAAAATACATATGTACAGAGACTGGCTCTCATTTCTGTAACTGAGTGTTGCTGTAGTCTTACAAAAAATGTATATTACCCAATGGATTAAAATATCTTCTGTGTATAGAAGTCAATGCCTCTGAATGCAGGAATAATCCTCCATGATTTCCTGCTGGGAAGCTTTTTAGGCAGCCAAGAATCTCAGAGAAAGTATGAAAATGCACAAAGTGAGAGTTATGTAAAGTCCTTTTTAATTACATTCTTTTCTACATTCTTTTCTCGTCTTTATATATAATGAATGTGTTGTGCTGTTTAGGCTTCTGAGTTTATCCGGTGTGTGTCTTTGGAAACAGGACAGTGAAGAGAACCGGAAAAAGGGCTTTGAGTTTCTGCTGCAGGCTGCCAAGGCAGGAGACAGACCCTGCATGATACTGGTGGCCAGAGCATTTGACACAGGAACAAATCTGTCAGCTGACAGGTGAGATGGTAAACATGAGGACAATTTCAGTATTAAACCTGTGCATGTAATTGTCATATTGTCATTATCTGATGAAAACCACTTTTTAACGATTATGAATTTTTAGCTTAGATCAGGTGTGGGGAACCTGAACCATGGAGGGCCGGTGTGGGTTTTTGGGATGGCCTCTCAATCAGCCAATAGTAAAGCAGTGGTTCTCAGCTCCAGTCCTGGGGACCCACTCTTATTGGCTGATTGAGAGGTCATCCCAAAAACCCGCCCCCACACCGGCCCTTCCTGGAACAGGTTCCCCACCCTGTGACTCTGACCAGGAAATGCAGTTGGAATATGGGGAGTATGGATGGATGTTCATTAATTAGTTATGTATTGGAACCAGAAAATACTGTGAGGTTTGTAGATAAGTGGTTTTATAATGAAATGTGGTTTAATGCCCAAAAGGACAATAGCAGTCCTGTTATGTCTCTGACCACCCACACTGGGCCTTGGTGCCCTTTGACCTGCTTGTCTGCAGGACGCAGAGCTGGGTGGAGGCCATACACTGGTACAACTGTGCCCTCAACATGATGGACTACGACGAGGGCGGCGAGTTTGACGGCATGCAGGACGAGCCGCGCTACCTGCTGCTGGCCAGAGAGGCCGAGATGTACATGAGTGGAGGGTTTGGTCTGGAGCCGGATCCCCAGCGATCAGGTAAGGGACCGTCTGAGGTTTACTGTGGCACACATGGTACTAATAGCACTCACACTTAAAATGTATCAGATGTGCTTAATAGATTCGTTTAGGCAAAGGTATTATAACCCAACCTATATTCACGGTAAACTGATGAAAATACAGCATTATCCTGACCAAAGCTACCTGTAATGAAAATGTTTCTTAATCTGAAAAATTTCCAAAGTGTGCAAGGGCAAAATTCCCTTCTTGTAATCCTCGTTAATTTGTGATTCGAATTTAGCCACACAAAGTCGCCTCTCTCTGAGTCTGCCGGGCCTGCAGCTCTCAACGTGCTGCTAACAAGCAAATACGTAAATTACAGACATGCCCTAAGTGCTTCTTTTTATACTGTGCCCCCCCCCCCCCCAGGGGATCTCTTCACAGAAGCTGCGGATGCTGCGATGGAGGCTATGAAGGGCCGGCTAGCCAACCAATATTACATGAAGGCGGAGGAGGCCTGGGCAATGTTGGAGGAGTGAGGGTGGGATGCGGGGGGGGGGTTTAGGTCCTGACTGTTTCCCTATTTGTCACAGTAGTTTACGAACATGGAATTTGGATTTTTCAATGCTGTTGTCTTTCTCTGTGTGTGGCTGTTCTGAGATGTTTCCTGGTGAACAGTGTGATAGCCTCAGTCCAGAAGTCGCCAATCTGTGCCTCATGGCTGCAGTGTGTGCAGAGACCTCTTATAATCGCTGTTAACCTCCATAGGTGGGGAGGAGTCAGGAACATTAGAACAAAAGACACTATCAGGATCAAGCTCGCCCTTTGGCAAATGTCATTAAAGCTCTTCAGGGAAGATCATTGGTCTAACTGGCAAAAAAAGTATATTTTAAATAGAAATTTCTTAAATCTTATTTCTGATGCAAATGGCGTTACCAGAAATGCAATTTGTGTGTATCCTGTGGTCTTCCCTTTTACAAATTAATTAACGGTGAATAATAAATGTTTTTCAAATGTGGTTAAAAGGAGTGTAATAGCTGTATGTCTGTTGCGTTGAAAAGTGTCCGCTCTTCATGTAGGCCTTAGGGTGGTGCATGTCACTTTCCAGGTAGTATGTGTGCGAATGTTATTTATAAACGTGGAATAAATTTTTTTTTGAAGTTTCTCAATATTTTTTCGTCTCTAGGTTGTTTTAACATTTCAAAGTTTCCACACCTTAATTTTGAATTCTGTCAACACATTTGTAAGATTTTCTGACTAACCTGCTGTGCCAGTGATCGGAAGGCCACCAGATTCAGGGCCCGGAAGCTGCAGAGTGATTTTACCGTCGGGCCCCTCAGCGAGGCCCCTGACCCCCATCTCCCCAGGGGCGGTTATCCACAATTTGGATAAAAGTGTCAGCTAAATAAAATTTAATTTTAAAGACCAGGTTTGGTGTGTACAACAATAGTGTACTTGGGGAAAAACACTAGAATACTTCAACAATGGCACCAGAGTACATCATTAAACTGTATACATGCACAGGTGGCCAACACATCATAAATGTATATCAATCCATTTTTCATAATGCTTATCCAGGAGGGAGATGCAAAGCCTGTTCCAAGAAGCACAGGACACCTGGTAGCGGAATGACCTAGAAGGGATGCCAATCCACACGTGGACATCATTCACCCCATGTTCCCATGTTCTTGGGATGGAAGAGGGAGGATGAGCAAACTCCATGAATACAGCTGGGAATCAAACCCATATCGCTGGGGATGTGAGAAATTAATGGGAAGAAAAAGTTCATGGTACAGTCATGATGATAAACTACAGTGGGAATTATTTAATGTTTTTCATAATATTGTGTGAGTAAGATATTATGGGGTCAAAAGACCCAAAACATGGAATCATTTTTGAAATAAGACCGAGAACAGAAGAGAATAAAAGGAAGACTTAAGTGGGAGTTGTGCCTGTTGGGGAAAACAAATACTGTCAGCAGCCATCCGTCAGTTTTAACTGGACTGAACAAACATTTCAAACGTATGAACTGATCGAGGCACACCCAGTGCATTAGGTAAGCAGGTGATTCCTTTCCGGTTTAACATTCACTAAACCTACTCCGCCTAAGCCTACTTAGTCTGCGGAACAGAAGAACAGATGTCATAATACGATTATAAAACGTAAAATGTTCTAAGACCATCTGCTCTTATGTGAAATGTTTATAAACATAAATTTCATAAAAGCACGTACCGTGAGCTAAGTCAGTGGCCAACCTGTTGATCTTTAAGACCTTCCTAGTCGATTGCGTCGGTAAAATGTACTTCGGTCGGCAAAATATACCTATAAAGAACCCCCGCCCCCCAGTTAGCATGATTTTCAGTCATTTGCATTTTAATTTTAAGTGGGATACCATTACCAAATTATAACGCTGCTGAGGTGTGGTTTCGATTGCCAGTAGTTGAAAATAAACCAGGTTTATACCTAAGTTGAATTCAGCTTTTGATAAATATTTTAAAAGGCACATGATGCTTTTATTATCCATACTTTTTTGTAGATATTTCCATGCAAGGCAATTGGCTAAAACGGGTGACGGGTCTCTGTCCCTTTAAGGAGGGCGGGCGCCCTCTATGGTCCAGTCGCGCCCTCTGCATTGTGGGATCGCGCCTTCCCACGTGTCTCGCTCGGCAGGGGCAGCAATATGGCAGCTACCTGAGATTGGAGGAGCTGCTGAACGACACGCAGGCACTCATTTGATACAAAAGTAACACGGGGAGTTTATACACCAGCCACCAAGGGAACCGAAGCAAGAATTCACACAGATCACGCCTGGGTGAGAGTATCTTAAACATGTTTGCCTTGTGAGATATATTTCAGTATTCAGAAGAGGCCGGAGAAAATAATTTAGCTAGCTATTTTTTCCCCCAAAGTATTAGTTTTACATTTGGTTTATGATAAAATTATGAACTTGCATGCGCTTGTGAAGGTTCTCCTGCTCCCCGATCCATTTTGACTTAAATGTACTAGCTTATTTACTATCTTAAACCTGAACGACAGTATTGTTGGCTAACCAGGTAACCAGTCCTGACACACTGTTGAGGCACTTGCTGATGCATAAATAAACTATAGTTAGATGTAGCGATCGAATACATTAAACGGATATTGTCGTTTAGATAATTTTCCGATCCTTCGTCATGCTAGATAGGAGTCAGGCAGACAGTACGGCTGAAGGAGTTATTGCATCATTTGCTAATAAACGTCATGTAATTGAATTAATTTGGCACAACTAAACAACTCGTCAACAATAAGCAATGTCACAATAATGACGATATAGTTTGCAAACGACATAGTTTTTAGCAAACCTCTGGTCGGTTCATTTGACTTGTTAGCACACGTGTCAATCAGTGGTTAATAAATACTAGGCCTAGTCACGAAGGAGTTTGATATGGTCTCCTATGCAGGAGGTCCAAATAAAACAACGTGATGTCATTTTGTTAATATCAGTAGGTATGGGCAGTGTGTGCCTCGTGAATGTCGACATGTTTCAATATGATCAAGTCGGGAATCTTTAAGGTCGTCGGCGAGCCAACAAAATGTCTTGTCAGCATGACTGGTCCCAGACCAGTAGTTACCTGGATTAACCTTCCGTTAATCTCCCCAACCCGAGTCAGCGGCCTACAGACAAACGCCCCCCCCCCAGCTCCCCAGCCCCCCAGCCGCATTGGCGTGCTGCGGCTGTCAGTTTATGGGTCTCTGATATTTATTTTTTTAATTCTTATATTCCTCTTCAGGATTGTACAGCAGAAGCCTGACCTTACTCACACTTTATCAGAAATCCCCTCAATATGGCCAGTGGGGAAGATGATGACCCAATTATACAAGAGGTAAGCATTTCTGTAATGGCAGTATGATGAAACTAATGCTAAAACAACACAGCTTGCCTCCTTTTCCAGGTTTAATTCTTAATTCATTTTTGTGCTACCGTGGAAGAGCATCAGTTTTAATGATGTCTGAAAGTTTGGTTGTTGTGAATTTTACCATGGGGCAGCCTGTTGTCACAGCCCTGTGTGTTGTGGATTTTTTTTTTAGTTCTTCAACTGATTCATGAAAAATTTCCTCTTTGTATCAGTAATTGAGAGAATATAGTGTGGGGATAAAACGAAAAGCAAGCACATAGTGAGGCTTCAGTTTTATCATGGCAGTGTATTTAATGGTAATGTTTGGCTAGCAGATGTCAAGTCTTGTCAAGTTGGTCACTGGGTTTCCAAGCAGGTCAGTGAAATATATCAGTGATCTTGCAGCTTCAATTATCAATGTATTCTCTATGGGATCTTCTTCGTACCCATACATAGCTATTCTTTCTGCGCATAAAGGTCTGTATTTGACCTTGTCTTGAACTTTAATTTCTTGTGTGCGTTGTTGTTCAAACATACATCTTTATTTTATCATTTTATAACTGTTGATAGCTACAGTAATACTGTATCTGTAATTTGAAGCCATATTGACATGGTTGTGTGATTGATTTAAGCTAATCAGTACATTATAATGCTTTGTATTAAGTACAGTTAATACCTGTGATAATATCTTTTATATATTGTCTCCAGTGTTAAGCAACTTTTTGGTCTGGGAGTGCTGGTTCCGCATAAGCACTTTGTTCTGTTTTACTTGGGAAATGACTTCACTGGTACATTAGCTGGGTAATGCTGCTTCTGTTATAGTTTTGCCTTCTGCTTAATTAATTTCACTGTGCTAAAGGTAATAAGCCACCAAAGAGACAATGAAAAACAATCACAAGTGATTCTGCGTGGTTTTCCCCCAGCTGACTAAAAGCATTTCGCTGAGAGTTCGGGGACAAAATTCAGTGGTGGAAAGAGTGCTCAATTTTCATACTTAAATTAAAAAAAAAAGTACAGATACCACACCAAAATGTTACTCTAGTAAAAATAATCCAGTAAAATACTGCTTGTTTAAAGGAAGACAAAAAGAAATACCTGTAATTAAATAAAGTACTACATTCAAATCTATTGATCTTACAAAAAGCAACACGTCCTTTTAAAATCACTCGACGGCTTTGAATGTAGCATTGTCAGTTACAATGATAAAGAAAACTGAGTCGCATATTTTCTTTCTATTCAGAAAAAGCAGCTGAACTTGTTGAACTTGCTGGCACAGATTAGCGGAATTACTTTTTTTATTCTGTGGGAAACAAAAGATTGATCAATGGACCAGATTTCATAGTGAATTATAAACATTTCTCCGGCTGGTACTTTTAAACCTCTTGTAAGGGGGGAGTGAGCCTACAAAACCCCCACCCCCCACTGAGGGAGATAGTTGATCGTCTGATAGTCAGCACCTTTGTTTCAGTAGTAGCTCTAGTGCGGCTAACTTTGAATGTTGATAAAATATCACAGCAATTTCAGTATGTTTACCAATTTATCGTGCACGTCTACGTATTGTTTGCTCCATTTTCATGAAGATGACTAATAAAAATCGCAGAGAGAGAGAACAAAATATATTTCTCAGGGATCGTGAGAGAAAATAGTGACTTGGATTCTTGGCGGAAAAAATTGTGATTTGTATTTTATCCAGAATCATGCAGGTGCTCTCTAAATATCACGCTAGAGAAAAATATAGCGAGCTGGGTGCACTTTCTGTTCACATATTGTCAGCTAACTGGACTCAAAAGAAACCAAACTCAGGCCCCCTCTTAAGGTGTGGGGCAGCACCTCTTGAGGTTGTCTGAGTTCAGTTCGCTTTTCAAGGGGAGGGGGTCTGAATTGGCTTGGAGTTTGGAGTGTTCTCATATAACTCGTTTTGTGTGGGGAAATGCCACTTAAACCAGCTGAATCGAGCCAATTGTGAACGTGCACTTAAGAGGCTCCTAGTCCACTGGCTACCTGCTCCGCCGACTGTTTTATCGCCATTGTCATGGTTTTTGGGCCACATTTAACCTTTAATTTTTTGCAGGTTGATGTCTATCTTGCCAAAAGTCTTGCAGGCATGCTCTACCTTTTCCAGGTAATTAGTAGTTTTTAGCATTTCACAATCTCGCATGCCTTTTATGGTGGTATTCCGTACATATTTCAGTAATAGGTAATTTTTTTTTGTCTGAACACACGTTAAAGCGAATGTTTGATTATTATGTGTCTTACTTTGTGGTGCTGTTTGCTTGAGCCGCTTGCATCTTCTGATTAGATCAGGACTGTGTAGTTTTCCTGTCAAATCAATGTAAATTTACCCACGATGCAACAGAAACAAGTAAGCACTGCAGTGCCCAGTGAGACAGACCCACTCGTTTTTAATGCAGTTAAATAATGTGAGCCATTATAGGATGCCAGAAAAATCCATGTATCTGTCTCAGAGTATGAGATTAACCCCCCCCCCCCCTCCTGACTTCTCCCTCCCCTAGTATCCAGTGCGTCCCGCTACTATGACCTACGATGACACGCCACACTTGTCTGCCAAGATCAAGCCAAAGCAGCAGAAGGTATGGTGGCTTCATGATGTTTTATCGTCCATGTTCAAACAATGGTATAGGAATGCCTAGTCCAGGGGTCACCAACTCCGGTCCTGGAGGGCTACTATCCAGTAAATTTTCTATCCTACCTGGCTTCTGATGAGCCACACCTGCTCCTGGTATTTACCTGAGAACAGGTGTGGCTCATCAGAAGCCAGGTAGGATAGAAGACTTACTGGATAGTAGCTCTCCAGGACTGGAGTTGGTGACCCCTGGCCTAGTCCATCACACGCGGCACAGAATAATTAGGCCTATATAAATAAAGAATGGATTCACAATAAATGCTTCAGTGGAACCGTGAAGATGGGTGGGTTGCACTGCCCGGTATGTAATTACACAGAATCTCTAATGTTCATCTGAGACGCGGTTTTACATCAGTGTTCAGCATGGAGCATAATCTACCTGATGACTCATCGCAAACTATAATGCAAAATGCAGCTGTCACTCTTTCCATCCATTTTCCTATGTCTGTCTGCCTTTTTAATGATAGTCGTGAGTAACTGACCGCTATACCTGTAGCAGTTACATGGCCTGGCAGGGCATCGCTCAGTTCATTGTTTAGATGTGTGATACCCATATTTTTAGGGAAGTGAAATTGTTTAAATGAACGGGAATGCTACTTGGGGAGAGAGATGTGTCCCTCAGACTGGCTGGTGAAGATGTAATGTCTCTGCATGGCTTTTGCAGGTGGAGCTGGAGATGACGATCGACACCATGAGTCCAAATTACTGCCGCAGCAAAGGGGAGCAGATAGCCCTCAACGTGGACGGCACTACCTCCGAGGACTCCAACACCTACTCCATGTGCGTCCTGTGCTCTTCCGCGGGACCGTTTCCTCTTTCGCTTTGTCACTCAGACAGGCTGTTTTCTGGAGCCATGTAGACGGATAAGCAGCATTACCTCCCTTATGGTGTGACGCCATCTGACTTTTCCTCTTTCCCTAATGTCATGCCACAGGAAGATGATGGACAAGCAGACCTTCTCCTCCATCCAGGCCACTACCAACACCTCACGTTACGCTGCAGCCGTCTTTCGTAAAGGTGAGTGCTAGGAGGGACGGGGAGTTTGAGTCATGCTGATTAGCCATAGCGAGCTTCATATCGTATAATCGATATTACACATTATACCGAGTACGCCGTCTCCTCTGTTTTTGTGGCTAAGCAGTTTCGTTATGTGAAACGCATTACCTGATATCTGTTCATGTCCAGTATGCAAGAATGTAACCCTCACTGCCAATTCATACTTCACTTTTTTTTGTGATGTTCTATTGCTATAACAACATCTGTTCTGAGTGTGAAATATACTGATAGTGATACTCATGTCTCAGATGTTTAGGTGTTCATACCATAGGCAGTAAACCAGGGGTGGCCAATCCTATCTAACATTGGCCACCCCTGCACTAAGCTCTAACCCTAACCCCCCCTGCCTGTCCTGTGCTGTGCTGCCCCCAGGGGAGCTCCACCTCACCCCCTTGCAGGGGATCCTGCAGATGCGGCCCAGCTTCTCCTATGTGGACAAAGCAGACACCAAGCACCGTGAGAGGGAGGCTGCCAATGAAGGTGCGGGGGGTGGGGGGGCGGGTATAGCGCCGCTATTTAATCAGCGTTTAGCACACAGCTCAATCGGTGTGTCCCAGTCTGGTCATCTGTGACTGGGAAACACTGCTGTGGCTTCATACACCATGAAACTTCTGCCACTAGCCTGCTCTCTGAAGACCACGGGTGGGGAACCTGATCCATGGAGAGCCGGTGCGGGTTTTTGGGATGACCTCTGTCAGCTAGTAGTAAGTCCTTGGGACTCGAGAGGTCATCCCAAAAACCCGCACTGGCTCTCCATGGATCAGGTTCCCCACCCCTGATCTAGACTGAGGTACGGCTTTTTTCCCCAGAGTCCTATTCGCTCAGATGACTTCACCGTTCTGCTCTGTTACATTTCATGCGTACAGTTGCTAGGTAATATTTTCATGCCTAAAGGCACATGTCACTTTATACCAGTCTTTAGATTTTGTATATGTAGAGTATATATTTAATTGTCATTCTATTTATATTAATACTTATAGCTAATGTCCACCTTTCATATCATTAATATACTTGATGTTTCATTTATTCACATATATTAGTCTATTTCTACTGAAAGTGTGACCCAGGGCTGTTAGTTGCATTTTATTGTTTCTGTTTGTGTGTAGCGACAATAAAGGCGTATTATTCCATCCCGTTCTATTCTCTGAGGTTAAGGAGTCTGACTAGCATGTTCTGTCCAGGTGGGGATTCCTCCCAGGATGAGGCTGAGGAAGACGTCAAGCAGATCACGGTGAGTCTTCCCGAGTGGCTAAACGTGCCCTGGCCGCTGCTCACGGGGGCACCTTGGAGCCCAAACGCTCACCATCCCCGCACCCGCGCAGGTGCGGTTCTCGCGGCCGGAGTCGGAGCAAGCGCGCCAGCGGCGCATCCAGTCGTACGAGTTTCTGCAGAAGAAGCAGGCAGAGGAACCGTGGGTTCATCTGCACTACTACGGTATCAAGGTGGGTGCGACGGCCCGGGAGGTTCCATGGGGGCTCGTGCAGTGCATTGTGGGTAGAGCCCGCCGTGGACTTGGGGACAGCCATGGCAATCACTCGGAGTATGTTCTGTTTCTTCACGTGCGCCGTTCCGCCGTCCCTTTCTCTAACAGGATGGGCGCTCGGAGCACGAGAGGCAGTACCTGTTCTGCCAGTCGATGGGCATGTCCGAGAACACGGAGCTGGTGAAGACTCGCAGGTGGGTGTGGCTCCGGGGCCGGATCCCTGCCAGCAGTGGGTCTGTAACCCCCCCCCCCCCCCCGACTCCGTCTCTTTGTCACGCCACGGCAGAGAAGACCCCATTCATTACATTTCATCCTTCTTCGCAATTGTTGATCGTAATTATTCGTCCCTGCTGTGAACTTTGCATTTCTGTTTGTGTTTCTCTATCTTAACCTGTTGAGCTCCATTATGACATGATTTCTTTATATAAACTTTTTGTTTTGCTTTTTTTTTATTTTTATTATTTTTTATCAGCGAGTACCTGTCTATGCTGATGCCCCCTGTCACAGAGGAGAAGATGTAAGTATCCAGTAAACATGTCTCCCTGGAAAGAGATGCCTCATTTGAACAGGGTGTGACTGGGAGAGATCTGACCCGTCTCTGTTTTCAGCGTAAAGCCGGTGGGGCCCAGTAACGTGCTGTCCATGGCCCAGCTGAGGACCCTGCCCCTCGGCGATCAAGTGAAAACTCTGATGAAGAACGGTGAGAGGCGCCCCCGCCTGGCAGGTGGGCTCATCTGCAAGTCTGACCCTCTTGGTAAAGTCTAAACCCACCGCTGTTGGTTCCCCCAACCCAGTGAAGGTGATGCCGTTCGCCAACCTGATGGGCTTGTTGAGCCAGGGCACGGACTCAACGGCAGTACTGCGGTGCATCCAGCAGGTGGCGATGCTCGTGCAAGGCAACTGGGTCGTCAAGAGGTAAGTAAGCCTGAGTGACCCTGTGCAGTGACCCTCCTGTGACTGGTGATCTTGTCTCCTATCCTCGAGAGAAACCCAGGCTCCTTGGCAAAGGCTCTCCCAGGCTTATCCTGGATGATTAGCTATGTTTTTGTTTTCAGATTGATCTTGCTTGTGGCTTAACGCTTAATCCCCCTTCGCTTGGTAATGACTGACCTGTGTGTGGCTGCCCTGTTTCCAGCGACGTACTCTACCCCAAAGACAGCTGCAGTCCGCACAGCGGCGTTCCCGCGGAGGTGCTCTGCCGCGGGAGGGACTACGTGGTGAGCCTCTTCTGGAGGGCAGGGGGGGTGTGGATTTTAGGCAGATGTCAATGAACAGGTGCTGGGAACATCCATGCCAAACAGGGGGGTAATATTATGGTCTAGGACGCTACAAGTCTAGCGGATTTTGCACTGTGAAATGAAAGCAGTTAATTATAACATTGGTGACTATGAATAGATGTTTGTTCTGGTACTTAGTAACTGTGTATCTTTTTAGATGTGGAGATTTACCCAAGAGCGCTCAGTAATGCGGAAAGAGGTTGCAGCCATCATCAAGGTGGGTTATCACTTTTGTTGTTGCAGTTAATCACTTTAGCACTAGGTGTCACTAAAGGACCATCTACTGCGTGAACGTCAACCTTCTGATTTGAATCGGTGCATTGTGTACTCTTGGGTACTTGATGAAACGTCCTGGGGCCTTGTGGTGTGTCTTCCTTCCGTCCACAGAGATTGAGATGACCCAGTAAAAAGTGGCTAAATGTGACTGTACTGTTCAGCCTTTGTCTCACTCATCCTGTCCTCTCTGTGCTCACAGCTTCCTCCAGAAGATGTGAAGGACTTTCTGGAACAGATGTCTGTTGCTCGGGTGAACCGTGGCTGGGAATTCATTCTCCCGACCGACACGGAGTTTGTGAAGAAGCACCCAGACGTGGCTCAGCATCCAGACCAAGTATGGTGGTGGTGGGGATGGTGGGGATGTTGGTCTTTGTCTACACTAGGTGATGGTGGGGGTGTTTGGTGGCGTCGGTCTCCGTCTACACTAGGCGATGGTTGGGGTGTTTGGTGGCGTCGGTCTCCGTCTACACTAGGCGATGGTTGGGGTGTTTGGTGGCGTCGGTCTCCGTCTACACTAGGAAACCATCTAGTTCTGCATGTGAAGTCTGGACAGTCATCGCTCAGCGCCTGTTAACATTTAACCTAGAATCATTTGTGCGAATGCAGGCTTGGTTACAGTATACACTAACTGTATTATGGTGGATAGACAGCTTGTTTCTAAATGGGTTGTGTTTTTGCAGGTTGGAAAAGGTGTTCAATCTCTCAAAGGAAGATATGATGATAAAAAAGGTTGATCCTCCAACAGGTAAGTTTTGTCTAAAAGTGAATTTATTCTCCGTATCTCTGTGCTCATCAAACAAACTTTTTTTGTCCATTGAATCTACAGCTCAGCTAATGAGTAAACTGGTTAAGGAGGCCACTTATTTTGAGATTCATAACAATTGTTAATTATTTAGGAGGAACCAAATAAGCAGCCATGTATTGTTGATGAGGTGATTATCGTAGCAGTGGAGTCTGTTAGATGCTTCTGCGCCTTTACGTAAAGGGTCCTTATCGTGTCACAGCGGTGCATGTGACTGGGGATCAGCGGATCAAGGCTGCCCGCGATCGTGCCCGAGAGAACCAGGCCTCGCTGCAGAAGGAGCACTCGCAGCGGAAGCGGGGGGCCGCGGGCACCAGCCTGCGGGTCAAGGAGGAACCTGTGAGCGACGGCGAGGAACCCATGGACACCTCCTTGCCCAACGGCTCACTTAACGGGCACCCGGATGACGATGACGGGCCTCCCGCGGACACCCTCAACGGGCATAGTTTGCACACGCCTAGCCAAGAGCTGCAGGACTTCGTGGAAGCCACCTTCCGGAAGCACTTTGTGCTGACGCTGAGCGAGGTGAAGAGGCTCTTCAACCTGCACCTGGCCAGTCTGCCCCCCGGGCACAGCCTGTTCGGGGGCATCTCGGACCGGCTGCTGCAGGACGCCATCCTCCTCTGCCGCTGCCGTCAGATCCTGGTGCCTGTGAGTACGGCAGGACAGACGCCTCCCCGAGCCAGAGGCCACGGCTCCGCTTGACCTTTACGCTGAAAGCTGGCTCCCGCCCGCACTGTTACAGCCCACAGTCTGCTGGAAATCCAGGCTGTCAGAGGTCATGGTGGCCGCCCCCTGCTGTGCCCTGACATGCGCTGATGATGTTTTTGTTCATCCACGCTACATTTTAGAAGGAACGGTTTTAGTAAACAGTCTATGGCTACGTGGTGACAAAAAAAGGTGTCTTTCTCTAGTCTGGTATTTTAGCGCTTTTCTACATTTGTTCCATTGAATTTCATTGTTGGTTTAAATGGTATAGATAGCCTCAAAGTCAGTAATGATACAAGGCATAAATAATCAAATAGAACATTTATTAGGCTTGATTAGTAGTCATATTCAGTGTGACTACCTCCAGTCTGTACTACCAAGGTGAAACCTCACAGAATTGACTGAAAGGGGTACAGAGCTATTTAAGGCTCTGTGAACCAGCTAAACCATCGGATAAATATTGCTGCATGGGGTCATTTTGTTCTGGGATTCCAAAAGCTAAAGGTTCTCCAGGAGGTCCTGAGTAACCATAGAATAACGCACAGGCCTCTTGCCTTCATTTCCCCGCTAAGACCGACCCCAGCGCCGGTCTCTGCTTTGCCCTGAGCCCCCTGTTAGGTGTTCTTTGGACAGCTGAGTGAACTATGTTCTACTCGGTGATTCAGAACTTAAACACAAGATTGCAAGTCATTCAGGCTGAAATAATTTGGTGAAACAATGTTCAAAAAGAAAAAAGTGTAGTTAGTTTTTTCTTTCCCTTGATATATATTGTTAAAATGATGCAGGCATTTAGAAAAGCAGCCTAAGGAAACACTTTTGTGGTTTGTGGGGTATAGTAACTTTGTTGCCATTTTCCTTAGCAGATTCTCAGCAATCCCCCATGAACCATTGTGATTTTAACATTTTCATCCTCCTTGTATGGGCACAAAGATTTAAAGGATGAGGTATTTTATTTAGTTTAATCTCCGTAGTTCTGTACGGTGAGGTTGTGTGTAAATGCACAAAGGCAGTAATGTCTCCTATTCAGAGGTCCTCCTCTGTGCTTTCTGTGACACTTGTGAGAACTGCGGTCTTGGCCTTTCATAGCGGTGTGCGTTTCTCCCGAGGGAGGTCGGGTCGGAACCCGTGGCCGGCGCACAGGAGCTGCCTCCGGAGGCGTCCCGCTTGGGCGCCTGGCATTCTCAGGTTCCCCCCGTGCCACCCTCCCTCTCCCGTGCCCGGGCGATACAAGCTCTCCTGCCAGAACGGAAATCGCCACGGAAGAGGGGCTCGTCCCAGTAAAGGAAGTCGGGCTCTTTTTTTACCTCCAGGTACATAAATACCTGGAAGAAACCAAAGGCGACAAGTTCAGTGTGATCATCTGGAATGTATGTGCTGTGTCTGCTGGCCTCATATTTCCTCACAGAATGTCACACGTTCCGTTAAGCAGATTGTGTGTCAAAGTCCCTGGTCCTTCCCCGTTTTTTTTTTTTTTTTAATCCAGAGATCTAATCTCTTCTCAGTTACGGACGGGAATGTCTGAAATTTTGCCTCTTCATTTCAGATCCCCTTTGTTGTGTTGTAACACTGGACCGTTTGTCCTGCTCTGGTTATTTTGTTGTCGTCTTGGGAGATTGTCAGACTTTTTTTTTTTTTTTACAGCATGACTATCCTATGACTAGATCTATATGTTCCTGAAAGATCCATCTGGTACCATCCAAGTTTCCCTTTACAGGTTCTCAAGCTAATAAGTCCACTTATTGTAGGACATCTTAGCATTTAGGTTGGAAAGCAATTTGAGTTTTGGGCCTAAAAGCTGTAAACTGTAAAATGAAGTATGGCAGACCTTGCATAGTTTATACTTTGCTACAGAAACTCCAGCTCCTACTAATCTGAATATTTATCTTGGTTTTCAGTGCAGTAGTGAATTACAGAACTTCCTCTTTTCTGTTGTTAGCTCAGTGTGAGTCAGAGTGCCGTATTGATCTATGCAGAGATGAAGCAGCTTTGCATCGCATCAAGTACACTTGTTTATGATGTACCAGTGAGGATGAAACATCGCAGATGCTTTTCATCACTCATACCGTCCCTGGGATTATTGCCGTGTCCCTGTATGGTGTTTGTCTTGTGTGCGACCTCTTCCCTGTAATGTCGGGCAGGATGACGTCCCTTTTAAAGCACAGCTAGGTGTGTAAGCTTCTCGTTAATATTTACGCCTGAAGTCCATGCTGCGGAATACCGCTCCGGGTCTGCCGCCACAGCCGGAATGCCGGTCTGGGTGTGGCATTCGTTTCCGCGCTCCCTCCCATGCAGAGTAACTGAACCCAGTGACATTTGGGATCTCTGACAGACCAAGTGCTTTCCAGAAACGGCCCAAATGGGTGTCGGCTTTGTAACGTCCTTCAGCCGGGCCGGGCGGATGCTGCTAAAGGCCTCGGGACCGTAGGGGGGCAGGATGTTCTTGAGGATTATACCTCCTTTCCGGTGCTTCCGATTCTTCTGGTGCTTCCTTAAGTCTTTTGAGATGGTGGTGGATCGTTTCTAGAACACCAACGTTTCCATCTCCGTATTTAGAGTGAATTTCTGATTGTCTTATTGCATTAGACTCAGAGCAGTCTGGTCGTTGTAAGTCAAACGGTACCTTACAGCTACTGCAATCTTTACCTCGCCTTTTTAGCCAGAGCGGCCATCAGACAAGGCAGATCTAATTTTACCGAACATGAAATTGATTTTCCTGCTCGTTTTACATTTACATTTCCTGTGTACCCTGCTGCTCCTCTCTTGGAGAACGCAGGTCTTCCAGCACGAACGCGTCTGCGGAACAGCTACGTGACATTCTCTCGTGGCTGATATCTCATCCGCATGTTTCCCTGATGTGAAGTCCATGAATGAAGGACAAGCTCATGCTTGGGGTTCAGTACTGTTTGTAACCTCGTTTGTAACCCAGTTTTTAACTGATTTGCAGCATTTTTGCTTGGTGCCTCCAGTGACCCCCTTCCGGCATGGCGAACGGCAGCAGACGTGGCCTAAATTTCCGTCGAAACCATCCGCTTTACAAAGGCAAGACAGAATTTTGGCTTGTAGCCTTCGCTGCAGTGGCTACACACTGTGCTCAGGCTCCTGTTCAGCTTCATCTTATAAGCCCTTCTAAAGTGGGTCGGTGCATTATGGAGTCTAGGGGGAGTGAGAGGAAGGTGCGAGATGCAGGGCTGCTATTAACGGTAAGGAGGACAGCACACGGTACTGGTTCCACCGGGTCTAAGCGCGGCGTGCTGCGGGCATTAACACCATGGCGCTTAGTGTTGGCAACCTGAAGAATGCAGAACATTGTGAACCTAAATATTTATTTCTTTGAGGGAAAATTTAGTCATTCATTTCTGTAAATATGCTGGTTGACGGATATCGCATGTATATTTTCTCCTTGGATAAGATAAAACACCTTTATTACTGGCTGTGGCCTAACCTTGGGTGACCTGCTCCTCACTCAGTACTATTTGCCTGGCTGTCGTCAGGCACCCAATCGTGTGGCTGCAGCTTGTACTCCGATAAAGGCAGGGAAAGGCCCCGGAAATGGCTCTGATTGTGGTAATAACTCTGCATTTTTCAGGCATTTCATGCTCATGGCTTGAAAACTTTTTATTATATAGTTAGATTTAAGATTTCACTGTATTGATCCTCCTGCAAAGCATGCAGCCAGACTGTAACCTGCAGTGAAATGTTAGGCGACGAGTGCCACCATAATAAATGGTGAAGGCAAAAAGATGTTTAAAGTATCAATATGATAACAGACATAAAACAATAAAGGTTATACTGAAACAAATGAGATCATAGTGAGGGCAGCCAGGATACAATAAATAGATAAAAATAAGCAGTTTTTTTTTTTCTTTTTAAAGACCCAGACACAGTGGCGTACCAGCAGGCTCCTATCAAAACACGTAGATGTGCAGTAGCTTTTCGTACGGATCTATACCGTATGGTAGTAAGGTGATAGATAATGGACTACAGTCAGTGTGCAGTACAGACAGGTGCCCTGCTGTCAGAAGGCCCATCCTGCCCCTGCTACAGTCAGTGTGCAGTACAGACAGGTGCCCTGCTGTCAGAAGGCCCATCCTGCCCCTGCTACAATCAGTGTGCAGTACAGACAGGTGCCCTGCTGTCAGAAGGCCCATCCTGCCCCTGCTACAGTCAGTGTGCAGTACAGACAGGTGTCCTGCTGTCAGAAGACCCATCCTGCCCCCGCTACAGTATGAAGGTGTCTGCTCCCCCTGGCACTGTCTCTCTCCATCCCGTCACCGTGACGACGGCCGCCGGTCCAAATACAGTCCATTTGTCTGCAGTCTATAAACTGCAGGAGGAAGTGTGACGTGGCCGTGAGCTGTTGACCCAGACTTACTTTAGATGATCTCTCTCCCTACTCCTTTATTTTTTTTTCCCATTTCTTGACATTGTTTTACCGAATTATTTTAGTCTGAACGACTTGCCTCCTCGTGTCTTAAGGCTCTGTCTCACGTGATTAATTTAAACAATCGGCCGTATGACACTGGGTGTAACAGCAGAGCTGAAATAGTGTATGGCAGCCTGTCAGGTTTGTTTTATTGTTTTATTTTCTTTATAGACGGCCAGTTGAATTCTGTGGCCTTTTATCTATATGAAAATTGACCACTCCCTATTTACATTTTAAAATCCTTATTCATGCCTGTTGTAATTTTTTCTGGAGTCACGAGAGCCATAGAAGAGGCCTTTGGGATGCTGCCCGTTTGTGGAGCATCCTGTTTGGTCTCAGGGTCTCTGCCTTCTGCTGTCCTGCTCCCAGTAAACAGGTTCCTATACACAAAGCCTGCTTGTGGGTCAGGGTCCCTGCCTTCTGCAGTCCTGCTCCCAGTAAACAGGTTTCTGTACACAAAGCCTGCTTGTGGATATCAGGCAATCATACTCTCTAAACAGATCTCAGTGAGCACTGTGTCACTGGATTTTGTCTCTCGCCCCTCAGTTTCCTTCGCAGAGCTCAGCCGCAGCAGACGAGCAGAAGGTTTTTGCTGTATGGGAAACGGGAGAGACCTTCGATAAGGTAAAGTTTGCCCCCCCGCACATTAGATCTTTCGCCAGCGAGGGTCTCGGGTGTCTGCTCCAGTGTGTGCTCTAGTTGAGGTTCCCTGTGCTGATATTCTGTCCGTTCCATGGCCCCTCCCAGTATCGACAGGTCCTGTTCGAGATCTTCATGAAAAACTACCGTGTCAGGAGGACCCTGGTGCAGACGCGGCTGACGCAGGAGCTGGGCAACGGAGTCACGAAGGCTGACATCGACAGGCTTCTCAAGGTGAGCTGTTAGTTACGAATGCTGTATGTAGATATACTTGCTGTAGTATTTGGAAAAAGCTGAACCCCTCCCATGTTGCAACTTTGCAGGAAATTATGCTCCTGTTAGGAGTAGCGTTCTGGCCGGAGCGATTCTAGAGTCAAGGTGGGGACATAAGAGGGGCCCACCTTATTAGCCAATGATGTGTTTTGAATTGTTGAGTGACAGGGAAGAGGGCTGTCTGAGGGCCAATCAGCAGGGACCTATGCCTCTGGCCCCGCCCCTCTATATGCCCCCATGTGCTGGCAGGTTCTAATTCTGCATGCGTTTCTCTCTCGCTGCAGGAATGCTGCGTCAGTTACGGAAGCATGTGGTACCTGAAAGGCACTGTGCATTCCTGACACCGAGGGAAAGGCCCGGCCGGATCCGTCATCCAGTAATCTCCTCCTCAGCTGAGTGGGGGGAGTTCTTCAAGGGAGTGCGGAGCTGAATCACGGACCAATCACTGCCCTCTGCGTCCCGCCTCCAAGACGGGGGCTGGGGGGATAAAGATGCCAGTTGTCTGCTCCAGACTGTGTGCCATTCATTTACCTGAAGTCACGGTTGTGCTTGATGCAGACTGGCAGGGAAACGGTCTAAGTCCACGATCAACACCTAGCTTATTCGCAGAAGCGCTGGAGGCCTGAAAGCTGTCAATGTTTGTGTAGCATGAAGAATTGGACATGCACATGCAATTCAAATACAAGTTTGAATTCATGAGACATCTAACCCCTCAAACTGAATGCCAGGGGAATACAGTTAGCTAATTAAACTATTAATAGTCATGAGATTTTACCCTGCTTGTGGCCTTTGGAAGACTATGAAGTCGTCAGGTTTTACCATACCTTTTTCCAACGATTTCACTGCGGGACTGTGATCACGCTTTTGTTGAGGACCTTAAATCATTAATTCCTTGTCATTAGAGGCACATTTTCAAATTTTTTTTTGTTCCGTTTTCTGCCTCTTGCGTGGTTAGGCTGAGCCTCACGGAACCGACGTGTTTACTGTTGGCGCCCCCTGTCTGCACACCGGTGACGCGGCCTGGTGGGCGAAGCCTTGGCTGTCGTGACTCGTGTCAGTGGACCGATGCTACAGGCGGCTAATTCTCTGTGCATCGTCTGGTGAAATTGGAATTGGCTGCGGTTGTTCAAAAGTCACTTTGAATCTCTGGATCTCATGTTTACAAAATGCACTTTGCTATTCTGACTTTTCATACTGTATGGCAAATAAGTTCTGAACAACGTAACCAAAGTATAACAGCACAGGCCAGAAGGGTGGATGTAGGCCAAGGGAAAAAGGTTGTTTTTTTTTTTTTTTTTTCTTCAAATAGGATAATCAGTGGTTTATTTTTAAATGACGTACCAGGACCTCTTGGCTTAGGGAATGCTTTCCTGAGCCATACTAATAGTTTGGTAATAACAGGAGGGAAAAAAACATAGTTTTATATGGCTAGTTAATTCATTTGAGCCCCTGTTCTTGTTGTTTTGAGACCCAGCCATTAATTGCATCGTTCATGCCCTGTTTTGATTTGCATAGGTTAAAAAAAAAAAAAAGAAATTATTAAAATCATTGGTGTTCAGAAAAAATAATTTCTGACCCGACTGTGGCTGTCTGTTGGGGCCTGCTTAAAATATATTTTATAATATGCAACTGAGACACTATGCTATTCAGGGATTCTCTGCCCTGAACCAGAGAAGCTTGTTAGCTGCCAGTGTTAGGGGGCCTGCTGCCTGATCAGTGATTCGTTGAACCTGGCTTTGATACAGGGCTTGCATCACTTCCTGTCGGGTACCTCAAATGCGCCGGGCAAGAGGTTGACTCCTATTCTGAGATGTTGTCCTTTATTTTCTTGACAGTCTACAGTCCAGAGGTTAATACTGTTATGCAGTTGGCTGTTGTTGTGCCTCCATTCTTTACTGGTTTACAAGCGAGGGGTAAGTCTGGTTTTGTTCAAACCATCAAACCAAAATGAGATGGGCCTTAACTGAAAACCTTAGTTCCACGAAAGAAAAGCTGTGATGACATGTTCGTATTTTGTTTTTGCACCCAGAAGACTTGAGAGTGATGTACAGTTGTGTAAATACATAGATTTATAATTTTTTTTTTTTATTATTCTCTGAAGTGGGCTGGTGATGAGTAGGCAGCAAAGGCTGTTTAGTGACTCTAGGGATGTCCCAAAGAGGTCAGAGGGTGAAAGTGCCTCAAATCACTCATTACACACAGATTGAGTGAGGGCTTCATGGAAACTCCCCATTTAATTATGAATTATTTTTTTCTTCCCATTGATCCCCCCCCCCCCATTTGGTGTTTGTGCTACATTGGTGGCTAAGAGAAGCATTTAAACCTTTCCTTGTGTATTGAGTCTCATTTCAAACATCAATGATCCTTAACTGGTCTTTGTAAGATGATGCTGTAGACTGTGGATATTAACTCTACATGGTCTGTGAAGGCTGGATTAAGGTATTTATGCATCTCCCCCCCCCGCCCCCCCAGTCTTGACTTAATAAAGCAGAGACAACCTCATACCGCTTCTCTATAATAATGGAATCATGAAGTAGACGTCGGCCACTAATCTGTGGATCATTGATTGACCTTAAATTTGGTGTCATGACAGGTTATGCATCTTGGTTGTGTCTCACGTTTTGCCATCATGATTAGCTGACTATGTATGACTTAATTGTCGAACGTTGACCTCTTCAGCTTTCGTCAGCACTAACGTGACACTTTATCAGCCATCTTCATATCGTCACAAATTACTTTATTGGTTTTTTCTCAAGGCAAAAGTCAGTGCTGTTATTACAACGCGACACGGTCCTAGCTCAGCCCCCATGTATGGAGCTTATGTTTTTGTAATTTACACTATACACACGTGCTAGATACAATTAAACAAGGATCACCTCCCTGGGAAGAGTGCTCTTATGGTTTTGGGAAATTGAGATGGTTTCTCTTGTGCAAAACAGAACGAGGCCGAGCTGGGTGTCTTCACGGACTGAGTCACGTCCTTTGTCTCTTGTGTATTCTGTTCTTGGCCACATCCATTTGTTAAACGTTCACCTCCCTCCCAGACTAAAAAAAAATAAAATGGGCCAATCCCTGTCATCGCATTGCAGGGTGTGAAACACACTAATGTAAATAGCTAAATAATTACAAAATAATCCACTGTTAAATATTAAAATATGTTTGCGATGGACATACAAAAATAGTGCACCACCAAACCAGAAACTCATACTTCCTGTAATTCTCTCCTAATCTTTGATAATTACATTTAAAAAAACCCCGTAATCAGAGAACTTAATCACTATTGTGTAGAATGGATTTCAACCAGTATGTGCTCATCTGGAAGGAATGGAATTAAATCCAGTAAGCTGGTAGTACTTGTTTAACCTTAGAAAAAGAAAAATCCATTTAGACTAAACCTGTAACAAATAGTAATGAAGCAAATGTGCAGGGTTTGAGTGATACATTGCACATTTTATGCATCTTTAGAGGCTCCTGAGTTAACATTAACAATCATTTTCGCTTCAAAACACACATCAAAAATGATGGGGCTGAGATCGCAAAAAAAAAAAACTAACATGACGTATTCCAAAGCAATCCAACGTTTAGGTGGAGGTCCAGCATGCAGGTGTAATCGCGCAATCATCTACCTTTCCACGTCACAGAAACTACATTTTGACTCCTGTTAGCTGAATACTGCTGAGCAATAGGAATTAAATTAATCAACAACCTTGGAACACAGTGAACTGAACTGGAACATATCACAACCTCACATCTCTACACTCCAAAAGGACAGAACACACTGGCCAGGAGGATCCCGGACAGCATTACCACACACAGGACGCTCCTGCGGCACGATGCCTTTTTAACACTGCATACTCACCACTATGCTTGTGAGAAACACCATGCTAGACAATCACGCCCTCAAGGGTTCCATCTGAGCGCCACCTAAACACGCTGCCGTTTCCTCGTTATTTTAGTGGCTTCATGACAAGACATTCATATACTCACTGGTATAAAGCAGACATGCCACTATCAATACATTGGTCATTGCATACATTATGCAACCTACTCTCACTCCATTCTTTCTAATCATATATATTCTTTTTTTCAACAGTTTCATTTGCAGGAAAAAAAAAAAAAAAACACGACACTGGCCCTCTAACAATATCAAACACGGGCAGTAGCTCATTCTGAAAGAGTGAAAACACAGCTTAGTCATTCCCTGGACCAAGCCCCAGTCTGGCAAGGACGTCCCATTGCAGGTAAAATGCAGGTTTTAAATAAGTTAAACACAAAAAAATACAGAATACTTGAGGGAGGAGTCGAATGTCCACAGAGCTGATGCACCTCTGTGACAGTGTGTGGGGGGGTTACATGTTTGTTTCCAGGGCTGGTGTTACGGCACAAACACAAACCAGCTGCGATGTGGAGCTTCAGACCTCCAGGTATCCACTTGTGGTGCCCCCCCGTCCACCCCACAGCACAGGAGCGTCACTGTGCTTCACTCAGCTTGGCCTTGTTCTCACTCAGGTCCTCTTTGGTCTTCTGGATACAGCTGAAGAGCTCCTGAAAGAGGGCCTTGTATTCGGGCTGCCGGCCATCGGCCTCGGGGACGCTGGCTTGAGAGGAGGGCTCCTCGCCCGACGGCCGACCATGGCTGCCCGGCCTGCCCGCCGGGGTCTGCACCGCCTTGTGACTCCACTGCTCCGAGCCCTGCTTGCAGTGCCGCAGCAGTTCATCGTACTTCAGCTGGAGGGCGCTGTACTGGGCGTCCACCTCGTTAAGCAGGGAGATGCCACGCTCCTTCACCACCTCTGCGCGGCGGATGCACATGCGCTCGTGCCCGAGCCGGAACTCCTCGCCGGCGCCGCCCTTCAGGAAGCTCTCGCTGGCATGGCGGGTCAGCGCGCGCCGGCCCCCCTGCGAGGCCCCCTTCAGCTCATCCTCCTCCACAGGGCTCGGCTCCTCCCCTAGCTCAAAGAACACAGAGTCGGGCAGCAGCCTCTCTCCTCTGCCGCCGCCGTCGGCCCTCCACAGCTCCCGCAGCTCCTGCACCTCAGCCTCCAGCTCCCGCAGCCGCGCCTGGCCGCCCTCCAGCTCTGCCAGCCGGCGCTCCAGCTCGCCCACCTCCTGGGCCAGGAGTTCCGCCTCCCGCTCCACCTCTGCGCGCTGTCTCTGCTCCGCCCCCAGCTGGGTCTGCAGGGTCTGCATGGAGCGCTTCAAGGTCGCATTCTCATCCTTGGCCAGCAGGGTGCCCTCCACATGTGCCTGATCACACGACGAGTACCTACAACAGAAACAGATGTGCAGAATACTCATCCATCCATCCATCCATCCATCCTCAAATCCCATGTGTTTCTTCCCGTAAAGCAGGGGTGTCAAACTGCAGTCCTGGGGGGCCGGAGCCCTATGTAGGTTAGTTCTTTCCCTGTTCCACCACAAATGATTCAGCGCAACATCTATGTTGTAATTAGCACAAGGAGTTGAATCAGCTGTGTTAAAAGAGGGGAAACCCAAAAATGTGCAGGGCTCTGGCCCCCCAGGACTGGAACCTGACACCTGTGTCGTAGAGGGACAATTTTACTTCCAGTATTGAAAATGTTACCGATACCATCTTATACATCAGTAAGTATAGCTTATGTGGGGTTTGAATGTTCTCCCTGTGTTGTTGTGAGGTTCTCTCCAAGTACTCCAGTTTCCCCCCACAGTCCAAACACATGCTGAGGTTAATTTACCTAATTGCCAGTAGATGTGCATATGTGTGAATGGTGTGTGTGTGTGTGTGTGTGTGCCTTGCGATGGGTTGGTAACCCCATCCTGGGTTATTCTCTGCCTTGACCTAAGACAAGCAGTTACAGAAGATGGATGGATTATTCTTACTCTATAACAGAGGTTACCGGAATGACCACATTGATCAAGCAAACGTTTCGGGTTTAATATGTAGTTTGGGCCAGCAGTCGGTATTCAGGCCCAGGATTTCTAGACCCGCCCCGACACAGGACAGACCAGCAGGCTGCATGATGCAAAGAAGATCAACTGGTTTTATGCAAATTCTCCCAGAGAGCACAGTGACAAGTGCTTATTGAGGAAAATCTTGGTATTACAGGAATCCTGGCATGCAAACACGAAGCAGGGAGTGTGCGCTTACAAGTGCCGAATAAATGCACCTTTATGCTGATCTGCATGCACAGTGCCGCTCCCTCACCTGTGCAGGCTGTACAGCTCCTCGAGACAGGAGACGCTCTGCGTGCCCAGGGCTCGCCGCTGCTGGTCTAGGCACCCCGATGGCGCACCCCTCAGCTCCTCCACCTGCGTCTGCAGCTGCTCCGCCTGCGTCTGCAGTCCGTCGATCGTCTCCGTCAGGCTAGGGAGAGAACACGCCACCGTGGCTTAGACCGGCTACCATTCCCATGGAATTATGACCTGCCCGCCTGCCGCCCAATCCCTGCACTCGACCTCTCGATCTTCTGCTGGGCCAAGCGGTTGTCCAGGACCAGGTGCTGGTTGCCTTTCTCCAGATCGCGCGCGGTGACGTCCAGCTGCTCGTACAGCTTGGCGTGCTGCTCGTTCATCTGCCTCAGAAGGTCCACCTGCTTGGAGAGGTACTGTGGTGGATGGACAGGAGGACAAAACGTCAGAAAACGGATGCTTTACACCATCGGGCTAAAAATTTTACTCCTTAAAAATGCCCCATATTTGTTTCTATGCTGTAATTAAAACTACAAATTTCTCAAACTGGCCATAATAGTGTGAAGTACTGTTAAATATTAATCCTAATATTGCCAAATAAGATATTAACCAACCACTGACTTTTTAACCTAGTAGTTAAATAATAGTCACATAATAAACATGATTTTTTACAGAAACTTAACACCGAGGACATGACTGGGAAACAACTCGGAACAGGCCAATAAAAGCCATGGTTTTACACAGAAAAACTGTTTCCATAGTGATGGTATTCACACATTCTTTAAAAAGATACAGTGGATTTGACAGTATGTGGTGCTTGACTGCTGACACTGTCCAAAATGGACTTTAGCGTCTATTAAATTGAAAAATGAAGGTTACAGTGACAAGCAGCTCAGCATCACCGTGGCTGAAGCAAAGTCGATCGCTGGCGATCGTGTCAGACGTCAACCTCATTCCATAACCTTATTACAGACGTCATCCGCCGATTCGTTCTCAGCTCATTTTAACAGTCTCTTACCACAAGGCAGAAGAGGACGACTGAAACAAGAACTAACTAACAAAAGGATGAACAGGAAAACACACAGTTCATACTTACTGCACATCACTGTGTGCATATATAAAAAAATATTTCCTGACTAAGAAAGAGTAAAAGTTAATTCCCCTTCTTTTCCTTCAAATTCTTTATATAGACTCACATGAACAGCGCAGACCTAGATAAGTGAAGCTACTTTAGTTGCAGCTTAAAGTTTATAAATTTTAAGTATGTGTATTGGAGCCACACTCCTGGAGACGTGTGGCCACAGTGCCACCCTCCAAGTCACAGCGTCATCCTCAGATTGTATAACCATTTAGCTTTTACCTTGTACTCAAACCTTCAGCTTTTCCTTCACAATTCTAGATCCTTAATTACCACCCTCTGCCACAATTACACATAATCCATCCATCCATCTATCCAGCCGAGAAACCAATGTCATAATTCCTCGCAAACATAACAAGTGCCATGTTCATCTCTTAAGAATATCAGTAACGTCTTCGTTCTCAAAAAACCGGAGGCCGGTGCAGAAAACACCTTTTCAGGTTCTTCTCTGGACTGAACAGGACTTAAGGCAGGAAACCCTTGCAGGAAGCTGTAGCTTCTGAGGTGTAACAGAAAAAACGACAGCAGCTTAATATCCCTTTACTGACACAAAGCCTCATTAACTATACATTGTAATAAGATATGAACATAGTCGGTCTTTATCGGCCACATTTATACCTGATTCGGTTGGTCTCAATAAAACATTTCTCCATTGTGATGTTTGCATCTCTCATATATATCCACCCATAGGGGTCCGGAGCCTATCCGGGTGGCTACGGGCACAAGGCCAGATGGAGCGCCAACCTATAGCAGGGCACACTCACACACCATTCACTCACACACCATTCACTCACACACCATTCACTCACACA